AAATTTTGGATGAATCTATAACTTTTTTTTCATGAAGCTCTGGTTATCAAGTGGAGAAATACCTTGCTTCCCTTGAATATATATCGGAATCTTAATCGAATGTTTGCTTGAGAAAAATGAGAGAAGGTGTAGATTTTGGCATAATGATTAGGATGATTGCACCATAAAAATATTCTTAATCAATATTTTGTTCGAACCAAGTCTAATTTCAAAACCTTTATTAAAGACGTGAAATTACGTCAAATCATAGTATACTTAATAAAATTACATATAAGTTATCATATCATAGAAAATATTGGGTTACATATTAGTACATAATCAAAACTATAAAATTATATCATATATAAACTTGGGATTTAGGATTCAGAATATATGCTTAAATTGTGGTTTTAACAAATAAAATGGTATCTTATGCCTTTCTTCCATACCATCTGCAAGACATTGCATAGCGTCCGTGATTCAATTTCAACTCTTTTGAACAACGTTCACCAATTTTGTTATATTCTTCATCAGTAATTCCCCAAGCTGTTGTAAGGAGTAATTTAAATGTATTAAAAGTCATTATATAAAATGTTGCCATCTACAAAAAAAAAAATAAATAAAAAAAAATAAAAATAAATTAAAACGAACATAAAAATATAAATTAATAAAACGAAATGTTGGTAAATTTATTATTACCATTTCGCCGATTTTTCCACCCCAATTACCAACGGGTATTGATATTGTTTCGTTACGAATATCTTTTAAATTAGGTATTGATTCAAGAATTGGCGGAATTGATCTTTGAAGATGTGGAACAATTCCTGTGGATTCAAGTCCGAGTTCGACTATTTAAAGAAAGGTAATACGATATTGTTTAGATGATAATTATATTATGACTTCATTTCATTCTAATCACTAAAACTTACTTAAATCCTCGATACATTTAAATTCAGGACTAGAATTTTCATTAATTAGTTCCATTTCAAACATCTCGATATAACCACCAGGCTTTACCACTCTAATCATTTCTTTAACAAAACTCTCCCATTCGTTTATTGTAACAGAGGTTATCATGTTTCTTTGACAAACAAAGTCAAAAGTTGAGTCGGGAAAAGGTAAACCATCATTCACGTTACATTGTAAAAATCCTACATTTGGTGGTGTTTCATTTGAGTCAGGAAAAAATGGCGAAATATCTACCCCTACAAAGGTTGAATCCGGATAATCTTCGGCCATGTCAAGCAACCACCTTCCTGTACCGCATCTGTTAAAAAAGGAGAAGGAATTTAGCATTGAATTATGAAAAGATTTAAAGAAATCTTTTAAATAACTTACCCCAAGTCCAAGACTTTGGCATTTCCATTCATTAATTTTTCATGCATTGGTGAAGAAAAATTACTTCTCCAAGCAATTCTCGTTAATAAATGTAAATAATTCAACCTATAAGCTAAGATGAATCAATAAATTAATTAATTTTTCGTCACTTATTAAAAAAAGAATAATTCATACAAATTTCATTACCTTCTTCATCATCATTGGGGAAAAAATAAGTAATATATTCACTTCTTTGATACCGTCTTCCTTTTATATAACAAAAAGAATCAAGCAAGGTATCATCAATTTCCAATGTCAGATTTGAACTTTGTGATGAATCACTTTCGTCGTTATCGACGTAGTTACAATTATCATCAATTTCATCAATTTCGATAGAATCTGAGCTCTCAGGAGAATCCATAATGAATTGTTAATGAATGCCTTTGCTTATAGATAGACAAAATACGAGATTATTTAAATAAAAAAGAGGATAGATAACAAATTATTAAAATTAATATTTTTATTCGAAGAAATTGATCAAGTCCCCAAAAAAAAAAGTATCATACATTTAATATATATAATAAACGAGCGAAACTGATGAAATGTATCACTAGCTATTCGGACATTGTCGATCAACGTCGGAAATTTAGGTCACTATGAAAAAACGTTTGTATTTCTTTTAAATTAAAAAGGAAAAAAAAAGGAAATATTTATGGCGCGCATCAACCAATGATCTACTTTGATTGTTAAATTGTTCGCGCATATCAAGAAAACTTGTAAAAATTTTTCTATCAAAAAGCTTACCCTTTGAAACTTACTATAGAATTAAATCTGAAACTATTACGAAATTAATAATGTATTTGGTTAAATTAAAATTCAGTCTATAATGAACTGCCAAATAAAACAAAAAAAAACACAATGATAATTTTCGTAGATCGTGCATCTTTTAAATATGTAACCTGAGGAAAAAAAAAAAAAAGACAAATAAATCTGTCATATTAAAGTTTACTTATTTCCGATAAGGTATTAATTATTAAATTGCTTTCTCATCAAAGTAATAAATCTTTGGTTAGCTTGGCTTATTTACTATAGCCTAAACCTATTATTTAAATCATATCCGCAAGTAATACTACATCAATGCACCATCGTGTTTAGTAATCCGCGATGATCGAAAATGGATTATCTAATAAGGAAAATACAATAATCCCGAAAGTAGTAAGGAAATGCGAACGAATTAGCTCACATTTTTTTCCGGAAATCTTTTTTTTTTTTTTTAAAAAAAAAAAAAAATAAAACAAGTTGAAGACAAATTTACATAATTACGACATTTGATCTTAAAATGGTGAACTTTTGTTCAAAGATTTTTATTATAATATTCAGATACTTGACAATATTTGCTTGAGAATTAATTCGCAAAAGTTCCGTTCAATTACAAGCATAAGCTTTCAAGAAATTTAATTGCGTCCCCACATGTGCACATGTGCATTATATTTCAATTAAAAAAGAATGAACCTCTCCCAATTTTTTTGATACTTTAATCTCGGAATAATTTTATGTAATGATTATGAAGCTGATGACGTAAGACATAAGAAAGGTTACATTAATATAAAAAATTATTATCCAATTATTTTGGAAATTATAGGCGGCAATTACATTGTTAAGATAATCACTTGATTTGATAAACGTGTACAACAAACTTAAAAAATTTTTTTTCCGAGATTGTTCTCGAAAAAACTTTCTCCTTTGTAAACATTTTAATAATGATTTCTTCCTCCATTGGATTTCTTAAAAGACATAAGAAAAAAATACTTTTTACATTAGGAATTACAGGTGGTACATACTTTCTTGGAAAGTTCGCAACATGGAAATTTTTTGAAATGCAAGAAAGGGCTGCTTCGGAACGAACCGCTCGAGAAAAGTTTGTTTCTAAACAACAATCTTTTATTTTGCTTCAATAAAGCTTTTGTTTTTGCCAATATATTAAATTTATCTCTTTTAGCATGAAAAGGCGATTTCAAAAAAGACAAAATGACTGTAGTTTTGCGGTATTATCACAGATTCCAACATTAACGCAACAATTAATGGATGAATTAGATGTTGAAACTATTTTCGCAAATTTACAAAGAGAAAAATATAGTAATCTGACCACAACTTCTCCGAGTGGATCAGTTGTATTAGTTAATAAAAATGATAATGGTGAAACTACTTCACCTTCTTCATCAGCTGTTTTAGTTGATCGACCTAATGATAGTGAGATTGCAACAGTTACGGAAACTACCACAGACATTCAAGGAGAAAATAGTAATGGAAATAATTCAAGTAATACAAGTCAGGAAAGTGAAACGAATTCTCCTCTTCGTAGTCCCGTTAATCCTCCTTCTGAGGAAGCTATTAAGATGTCAAAACAACTTAAACTTGAATTATGGACTGAAGTCAAATTCAAAAGTAAATCAATGATTTTTTTTTTAAAAAAGAAAAAAAAGAAATTTCTTTTTCTTATTTATGTATGTATTTTCACTAGGTTTCACAAGGACCATTGCAGCCGTGTATCTTGAAACACTCCTTACGATAACCACATTCATTCAATTAAATCTTTTGGGAAAATATAATTATCTTTATTCAGTTTACTCTATCACGGAACGTGATAGAGAACAATCAATTACAATTCAACCTGTTGATGGATCCATTTTAAATCATGTTACAGAAAAAAAATATTTAACATTTATTGGTTGGTTCTTGAATGTGGGATACAGAAAGATTGTTGACAGAGTTTTTGCAGCAGTTGAATCTTCCTTGTCAAGGTAACCATTACTTTTATTATTTACGTTTTAATTAATAAGTTTTCTTTTAATTTGAAAATCTTAAAAATAATTTATTATTAGTATGTCATTCAAATATGAACTTTCATATCAAGATTTTGTGTGGCTTATATCTGAAATTAGATCAAAGGTTGAAGGAAACGATAATGGCGATCCTGCTAATAGGTATTTATTTTACAATCCTTACTTTCATTTATTTTACGGTTTCCATAATCTTTGTGAAATGATAATTGTAGATTCTTTAATATTATGATGCCTGAAGATCTTTCGGATGAAGTAAACGTGTTGAGAGAATATGGAGGTGACATATTTGATGACACTATTGATCCCAAACTGAGAAAGTTGTTGGACGAAACAAAGGACTTTATACATAGGTATTTAAAGAATTTATCATCAATCGTAACTTGAAAATTTAACTTACCTATGTATTAATTAAATCTTGTTATGATGATTTTAATAAATGAAAAAAGTCGGGACTTTACTAAGGTTCTTATAGAATGCCTTAATTCGGCTTTTAATTTATTATATCATGATATGCTGCCTCATTTTCATCATCATGACACATCGCAAAAAGTTGAAAAAAGTATAACACTTGTAAAGTTATTACCAAATATTACTAAAGAAGCTCACGTCATTCTTAATGGTGTGCCAAACCGATTTCTTGAGGTTTGTCAATTATTTATTAGATAATTATCATATCATGTTAAAAAAACCATGTTTTTAATATTTGATGATTTATTATAGGTGATTAAAGATTGTAAGGAATTGCAAGCATTCTCTGCAATTATTTATACCTCATTTGATGAAAATAAATATGAAAAGGTTTAATTATTTAATCACTTTTTTTTTTTTGGTAATAGTATGTACATGTATAATATTTAGAATTTACTCTATTAATAAAATTTATTTGGTAATAAATAAATAAAAAAAAAACGTTGACAGAGAGAGAGAAAATTCAAAATCAAAACACCATCTCCAACTTAACTAATTTGAAATACCTCATAATCATCAATAGAAAAGGTACCTTGAAGATCTCTAATTTTGTTTTCATAATATTGTAATTTAGTATGACCGGACCTTGGATTTATAATACCACCAATCCTTAAATCACTACCACTACCAAAAGAAATGTAACCAGTTTTGGAATTGAATACTATCTTATCAATTGATTCGCGTTTTAATCTACTTATTCTTGGTAAGAGTGGTGGAGAAATTGAAGTGGGAGAGCTAGGAGAATTATTATCACGAAACGAGAAAATAAAACTATTGATCGAATCAGGATGAGGCTTATTTGAATCGTCCCAACCGATCGGATTGTAACCGCCTATTAATTCATTGGTATTAGAAATTCTTGCTACAATTAATACATTTACTTTATAATCTATGAATTTATGCAAAATATCCAAGTTAAAACAATCACGAGATGCTCTATATAACAAAGTGAATGTATAAGGGGGTTTAAGTAGCAATGATGGATGATGATTTACATTGGACGAGAAAGCGTTCGTGGAGGTTGCTAAAAATGTCGTCGTGGTTGGTGTTAAGGTGAATTGAGAGGAGACGGATGAGGACGACGACGACGAAGAGTGAGAAGATGAAGTTGAGATGCCATCTTTATGATCCAACCAATTTGTTATTATTTTTATATGATCATTAGTTATGATTTCGGAATCTAATCTACGTCTAGGAGGTTTTAATGTAAAGATTTTCTTTGGAAATAAAAAGGGAATGTTTGTATTTATATTATTTATATTATTACCATTACCATTCATCATACTGCTACCGCCACTTCTGCTATCATTTTTATCACCGAGATTTAAATTATTAAAAAGTAATTGTTTGGAAGGAGGAGGGGATGGTAATAAAATATAAAAATGATCTTGTAATTCATTGTAAAATTCAATATTAAACACTTCTTTAAAAGGCATTATAAACTTTCTAAAATCTGATTTCAAAAATTCTATGAAACGAATTTTCGTCGATAAATTTTCCAAAGATTTACCCAAGATATTATATTCGTTGGTACCCCATGAACATTTATTACTTAAATGATCTATTAAATCTTTTAATTCCAAATTTAATAACCATTCCTCATCATTCCGCGATGTCGTAGTAGTAGTCGTTTTCGTCGTTGCGTTATTATTATAAGATAAGATTGATAATTGATCATTTGATTGAAAGATTCCCCATTTTAAGATAAAACCCCAAATGTCAATTTCATTAAATTTATTGAAATCATCTCGATCCAATAATTCCAACAGAATTTCCTCATGTAAATAAAAAAAATTAATAGAATTAAATAATATTAAAGGATTATTAATTATTACTTTTTCAATACAAAAGTATTGTATGTCTTTGTAAGAAGAATGATTATAAGTTAGGTTCAATATGTGATGAATATTCTCTTGAATAAATTTTGAATGATTTATGATTAAATGTTTCTGTATATGATTTATTAATTCATCTATTGCCAATTCATCCGATGATAATAACAATAATAATATTTCGGATGGAGGTAAATGATCCAAATATAAACTACCATCATAAATATATTTTAAAAGGATTGAAAAGATCTTTGGATGTATGTTGGGCTTTTTTAATATAATTTTATCATTATCATCCCTTTTTACCCAATCGTATGATAATGCCGCTTCAAAGTATTTACATCGTGATTTCAAGATCAACGAATGCGCTTTAAACGTTTTAAATTTCTCCTCATCATCACTTACAACGAAAGGTATGTTATTAAATGAAGGTATCTTGTCCTGTTCCCCTATCTCTATAATTACATTATAATCATTTGATGTTTCTAACAATTTAGTATAATCTAATGAAAGTTTTGTTGAAAAATATTCTGTAGGCATTTTTTTAAGAGAAAACCACCTTTTTTTTTTTTTTTTTTTGTTTTTTTTTGTTTTTTTTTTTCTACTAATTTTAATTTTTTATTTTATTTTTATTTTTATTTTTTTTTTAATTTTTTTTTTTTTTTTGGATTATTGAAAGTTCCACTCAAAATTGAAACGAACTTTCTCCTTTTGATGGTTGCAATGCAGATGATTTTTGAGTTACACTTGATTTTGATTGGTTTTATTCCATGCAAATTTTTAATTTTATCCTTTTAGTTAAAATTAAAAGAAGTACGCACACAAGTTTTGTTTGTCGAAAGAAGCAAAAACATGTAAAATTTTTATTAATTTAAAAAAAAAAGCTTTATCGTCAACGAATCAGATGCTCGCGAATAATTGCAAAGATAAATCAAACGAAGAACAAATTGCTATGTAGGTATCAATTTTCTTTTTTTTTTTTAGGGCGAATTCATTTAAATGGGGGACGTTCCAACACATTCTCATTGGGGATCGATGTCAGTCATCGTGGAGGAGGGGGAATTAATAAATAAAATAAATTAAGGAAAAAAAGAAAAAAGTTAGATTTTCATCCGAAAAAAAAAAAAAAAAAATGAAAAATGAAAAAATCAATTGTTCGGTGGATGTTTCAGATTGTAATTGGAATGTTTTTTTTTTTGTTTATAAACATCGAAAGAAAATAATATAATTCTTTTCTTCTAATTTCATTATTAATCATCATTTAACATCATTTTTAGCATTATTATAAAATCTTACATACCATAAACATAGGTTTTATTTTATTTTATTTTATTTTTTTATAAAAAAAAAGAAACACATGCATCTTTAAGGAATCCTTCAAATAATATAAGGAGCAAAATATTGCAAATGGGGAACGAAAAATTTTATTAATAATTTTAAAAAAAAAAAATAAATAGACGGATTAATTACGAAAAAAAAAAGGGAATTGTTGAAAGGAGAGTATAGTAAAATTTTTTTTTTTTTTTTTTTTGATGAAAATCTATATAAATCATCATCGATCATCATAAAGGATAAATTAGAAAAACCGGGTACCAACAAATTTGGAAATTTTTTATTTATAGTAAAAGGGAATTTTTTTTTTTTTCGTTCATCAGCTATTTGTTTTTGACAGGTAAAAACGGTTTCTTTCTCTTATTTAATTTATTTAATTAGGAAATGATCCTTCGAATCATGTAAAAACAAAATTAATGACGTTAAAAGGATTTAAACCGAAAATGAGGAGGGGGACAATGAACTTTCAATTAAAGATTTATTCAAGTGCGGTGGATAAATCTTTTTGCAGTCAACAATTAGAAGCTTGACAAAAAAATGTGGGCGGGCACATGGTCACATAAACATCATTATCCAATAATGAGAATTTAATTAATAACATCAAAAGGGACTTTTTTAAGAAAAAAACAAATAGCATTCAACCAATTCCGATTTAGTATAATTCATATAAAGGCAGGTAGATTACTCAAAATGTCACACAAATTAATAGAGAATGTACTTTGTTTGTCGCACATCACAAAACCCGAACTTTTATTATTACATACATATATAAATGCATCATTTTTTTAAAAAATTCCTCTTATTTATTTTATTTTATTTTATTTATTTTATTTTTTTTTTCCTTGTTTTGAAACAAAATTTTTACAAAAAATAAAACGAGAGATTTCAACAGATAATAACATGTCATCTAAAGAAAATAATGTCATTTTAAATTCAAAGTATGATGCTTCCGCCGAAAAAACTATTATTCTAAACGTTGGTGGTGTTAAGGTAAGGAAAAAAAAAAAAAGAAAAAAAATAGAGGTTTACGTTTGGAATGACTCTTTCTAAATCGTCTAAAATTTTTATTTCATTCCATCAATTCAGTACGAAACACAGAGATCGACGCTTCTCTCGTATCCGGATACGTTTTTAGGAACAATGTTTGCAAAGCGTAATCTGTCATTACTTCATCCTAAGAATGAAAATGAATATTTTATTGATCGAGATGGAAGCCTGTTTCGTTACGTGATACAATATTATCGCACCGGAAAAGTCTATTTACCAAAAGACAATGTTACATCATTGGTATCTTTAAAGGAGATAGAGGCGGAGTTGGATTATTTTCAAATCCCTTTTAAAAAACATGAAAAGCAAAAAATCATACAAAAACTTTCTTTCACGAATAATCCAACGGTAGAGAAATTAGATCAATTCATCTACGTCTTACGTAACGTTATAAAAGAGGTCATGGGTACCTTTGAAACCGAGGTCATGATAACGTTTAGTAAAAATGGTTACCCGCCATTTATGAATTTTGGTCGTTATTATGTTAAAAATTCCGTTATAATGGAACATATCGATTCATTAATCAAACCATTTGGTAGCGTTGCTTATACATTTTTGGATAAGTATGGTTCCGATATCGGTCAACATCTTAAAGGTGAAATACCCGAATTAAGTTGGCAATACGGTTATTCACAAAACAGGGAACAACTTAAGTTACACATGAGTATTAGTAATATCATGAGCGATGAGGAAATCTTTAAGCATTCTCGTTTAAATTTATCCAATATGAAAATAAAAGAAAAGTAAGAATGAGGGTTACAACAATAGAAATTTTATATAATAAATCAAGTTTCGGTGCTTTTCAAAATTCCTTCTTAACAGAACAATTTTTTTTTTTTTATGTGTTATTTGAATTAACTTTAATTGAAATAAATTGAGAATAATGGTTTAAAATGTTCAATATGCTGTAGACGTTTACTGACTCGCTCTTTGCGAGTCATAATAAGCAGAACAGACAAAAACATTACTAAATGATTAGAAGTACACCTGAGCCACTTATATTTATGATTTAAATCAAAATAATAAATACTTAATATAAATAGTATTACAATATTAGTAATTTGTTACAGACGAGGCGTTAATATACTTCCAAATTTGTTCACAGTTGGAAGTTCACGTGATCCGCACGTTTAGATACATTATCCGTAGCACATCTAAAAAACGTTTTGAAATTCAAATAACTTTCCCTCCAAAATTTTATAAAGATGACTGAGTATTTGTTGACACTTTCATCAGATTTCACGACCCTTTTGGAAAAAACAGATGATTATAACGTTTTAATTGAAATAGGACAGAAAGAGAAGGCTAAAACATTTAGAGCACATTCTATTATATTACGTGCTAGATCAGAATACTTTCGTGCTGCTTTATCAAATGATTGGGTAAGAAGAGAAGGCGACATTATGATATTCAAAAAGCCAAACATTTCTTGCAACGTTTTTGACGTCATTCTAAGGTAAGTCCGATAAAAATTTTCGCTTTATTATATTATTCTAAAGGTTTTAACTCTTTCCCTATTACTAGGTTTATTTATAGTGGAACAATTTATTTAGAACTACTTGAAGATTCAGAAATCTTTGAACTTTTAGAAGCATCAGATGAGTTATGCTTATTTGAATTATTTAATCATATACAAGATTATTTATTAACTGATAAAGATACTTGGATGAAACAAAATATCTTTAATGTTTTGCGTGTTGCATTTAATCATGTTTCATGTGATAAATTACAAAATTTTTGCTTTAATATTATTAATGAAAATGTTTGGAATTTATTTCAGTCAGAAGAATTTCTGGACGTGAATGAAAATGTAATATTACAACTTCTTAAAAGGGATGATCTGGGAGTCGAAGAAACCGTAAGCTCATGTATACAAAAAAAATGTTCGTCTTAATACTCAAGATATTCCTTTTATTAACGAACCTCTTTTTTTTTTTTTTCTTAGGATATATGGGATTTTTTGGTAAAGTGGGGAATAAAAAACGCCGATATCCCATACGAAAATGATATAGGGAGTTGGTCATCAGGAGATTTTTCGGCTTTAGAAAAGACACTTTGTAATTTAATCCCGCTTTTAAGATTATTTCATATATCTTCAAAAGATTTTTATCATAAAGTATGGCCATTTGAACAAATTTTACCGAAAAAATTACGAGATGATCTTTTATCATTTTATCTAACAGGCGAAGTACCAAAAAATATAGTAATTCAGGCTCCTAGAATTTCACAAAGTAATATAGATTCCGAAATAATTTTATCAAAACATGCTATATTAATTTCAAATTATATCGTTAAAAAAAATATTCACTCATCAAAATTTGCATTACCATTAACTTCAACATCTTCTCATTCATTTAAAAGTGAAGGAGTAAATATTCCTCATAGATTTAGATTAATTTATCGTGGTAGTAGAGATGGATTTTCTTTTGAATCATTTCATAAACATGTTGATAATCATGGTTCAACCATCGTATTTATTAAGGTTGCTGGATCCCCTGAAATTATTGGGGGTTATAATCCTGTAGGATGGTATAGTTACGGAAATTATATTGCTACAGGTGATAGTTTTATATTTTCAATCGATTTAGATGAAAAGGATATTACGAACACGTCTCTGGCACAATTGCAGCAACAACAGTCATCAGAGATCATTTCAAAGATTAGTCGAGTGAGACCTTATTTTATTGATGGTGCCATTTTCGATACGCAACACCATGGACCATGTTTTGGTTACGGTGACATTTGGTTCGGTAATAAAGCTAAACCGAGATATGGTTCTTGTGCCAGAGTTTATTATGAGCATGAAATCAGAGACGAGGAAGGTGAATTCTTTGTCGAAGACATAGAAGTTTTTCAAGTTATAGAAAAGTAAACTTTTTATATTCATTGGTTTGTTTTGCATTAGTATTCATTTATTACCACCTTATTATTTTTGATTGATTATATTTTTTTTTTTTTACCTAAGAAATAAAAGATTTTTTTTTTTTTTTTTTTTTTTTTTTTTTTTTTAGCGTAAATTAAAATAAGAATGACTTTAAATTTTTAAATTTTTTTGTTTTATTTAAGTTCCTTTTTTTTTTTTCATTTACGACTTTGCTCACAAAATGTTTGTATATGAAACCTATAAAGATCGCTATTTGACGTGTCAAAAGTAAAATTTCTCCGAAAACAAAATTTTCACACCAACACCATTAACATTTACTGAATTTTAGTTTTTTAAAAAAAGTTTCTTTGATTACGAATAATTGTGTATTTTTATTAATAAATAAAGAAAACGAGAAAAATGGTATTGTTTATAACTCATAAAAATATATTTGATACTATTTTAACCCATCATCCCTTTTGATGATGTAAGTATATGGATCTCGCCACTCTTCAAAGCTCCACAGTTACTACAAGTGTTCAAAGGGATAAATATATTAGTAATCTTGTAATGGGAAAAATTTTTTGATAAAAAGTCGTTGAGGACTTGTAATGGGAAAAAAATAGATAAACAGTCTGTTGAAGACTGAACAAAGTCGTTGAGAACTTGTTGAGAAAAAAATTTTTTGATAAATAGTCTGTGAAGACCGAGACCGAGATGAAAAAGACGAACAAAGGAAAAAAAAAAGACGATGATAATAGGAGAAAGATAACAGCACGATAACCTAAATTCCACCCATTTCGAAAAATAAATGAACTACTACCAGCCGGTCGAAGCCAGGAATTCATTTTGCTCCTAGGCGAAGCAGATTTTCTCAACTTTCTTAAAGAAAGAACCGAGCAAGTTTTTAACGAGAAATAAGTTACATAACTTCCGCGCTTGTGCGGATAAACGTTCTAGGAGTAGAAACAAGACATACTAGCAAGGTTTTACACTTAACACGCAAAGATGAAATTCTAACGTTCTCGCAAGAGAAACTGCAGAACTGGAATGAAATGAAATGAAGACAAATTGTGAGGTTTATATACCTACGTCAGACGTTGTTTATGACGCGTGAGACTTTGGTCTGTTCATCTTTATCATTGTGAGTTAATAACCAATTTAAATAATTTACAAATATATAACATGTTATTTTAAAAATTTTAAAATTAAAAAAAGGGTGAATATAAAAAATTGTCGCATATATAACATTAATAAAGATTATTTTTTAAGATCAAAAAATATTATTCTTTAATCAAAGTTTAGTTTGAACTTTTATTTGTAATAAAGGTAAAGAAAAACACAAATTATTAACAAACCTTATACATTGTTTAAAAAAAAATACTAATGAAAAATTAAAGAACTTATAAAAATAACAAAATAAATAAAATAACATAAAATTTATATATTTATCAATAATTTTTAACTTAAAAAATAAAATAACAATAATAAAAAAAAATATTTAAATAAAAAATATTTTTATTATATAAAAAGAATATATAATTTTATATATCTTAAAATATAATTATCAAGAAAAAAAGAAAATATTAAAAATATTAATTAATATAAATTAAAGGTTAAAATTAGTTTTGTTTTTGTAAATCTGTTTTAAATCTAGACTAAAAATCTAATCTGATTACATTTAAATTTATGTAAAACTAAATTAAATTAAATAATCAAATTAATTAAATAAGTTTGAATTAAGTTATTTC